GTACAGGTTCTCCTGCTCCAGGAGCTTTCCATCAGATTCTGAGCTAATATGAATTCAGGCTGCCACTAGGAATTAGCAGACACAGAACACAGGATCTGCCCCCAGAGGCTTATAAAAGAGGAAAGGAGACACCGAAGGCTGAAATCACTTCCTAGCATTTCCTTTGATCCTTTCCTGCAGAGTCTGCTGCACCGAAACCACGCCCTTCCTGTGAGACCCCGGCCCAGCACCGAGGAGGGCTCTTGCTGTTAGTAGTTACTGAGCAGAGCGCTGGATGCGGCACTGAACGTGTCCATGGCAGTCCCTGTCTGGCAGCTTACAGTCCAAAAAGGCACAGTTTAAGGTTAGAGGCACCAGGGTCTGGAATGGGAGAGGTGTTAAAGTAGCAGTAGTTTACAGGAGAGAAACAAGTTTAGAGAAGTGAGCAAAGGGCTCAAAATTCCACGGTGGAGTATATTCAGGGTTCCAGCTGGCATCCCCGTTGACTTCCAGTCCAAAAACGCTCGTAAGTATAATGTATGTAAAATCATATGTGGTATCTGCCTTTATACTTACGTATGTATGTGTATGCATGGGTGTGTAAAATTTTCATTTGTAGGAGGCTTCATTTCACTTGTTTGTTCTGATTTGGTTCTCACAATAACCCCATCTGACCAGCCAGGGAGCTAAGGTTTGGTTACACATGTAAATGGTAGCGACTGGATTCAGAGTTCCTCCGATTCCAGTTTCCTCTGCTTCCAATTGTGTGACATTGTTATCTGATCTTAGTGGGTATTATCAAATCCCTCTTCAGAACCTCTGTGGAATGACTAAGTATTTGGCCAGTTCCTTCCACGTGGTATACATGGTCTTCCTGACACTGGGCAGGCTCAGCTCCTAATCTCTTTGGTTCCAGAAGACCCAGGACTGCCACAGTCACTGCTGAAGAGTCAGCCCCTCTATCAGACATGACTTTAAGGCCATTATTAAATGGCAGTGGGAGAAGACTTCTGGTCAATATGGTGGCATAGGTAAACATGGCTTGCCTCTTCACACAACCACATCAAAATTACAACAAAATTATAGAACAACTATCACTCAGAACCATCAGAAATTGAGTTGAATGGAAGTCTGACAACTATGCAATTAAAGAAACCACATACATCCAGACTGGTAGGAGGGGCAGAGATGCAGAATGGGCTGGTCCCACATCCACATTGTGGTGGATAAACATTTGGGAGGGATATCTTGGGAATGAAGAGTCCTAGCCCCACACTAGGCCCCCCAGACCAGGGTTCTAGCGCCAGGAAGATAAGTCCTCATATCTTCTGGCTGCAAAAACAGAGAGAGTTGGTGGAAGAAACTCCTGGAGTCCCAAGCATTTCCTCTTAAAGAACCTACACACAGACTTATCCATACTCACTCCCTCTGAGCTCCAGCACCAGGGTAGCAGCTTGAAGGGACCAGTAGCACACAGGGAGAAACTAAAGTATCTGGCATTAAGGTGAGCACTGGGGGAGAGCTTTCTCCCAAACAGAAAGGCAGGCAAAGGCCATTGTCCTTTTTCTGAACCCTCCCCTCACAGAGCCACAGTGCTGGTAGGCAGGTGCCATCTCTGAGACTCCATCAACCTGGCTAACACTGTTTGCCCCACCCTGGAGATCTCTTGAAGCTCCATTCCATCCAATTTATAATTGTTAACAGTGCCTTTTCCGTATAAATGGCTGGTCTTGGCTCATGCTTCATAACTTCCTAAATCCTATCAAACAAGCAGTAGCTAGCCTCAGTGAACCCCCAGCCCCCATCTCTCTTTACATGGCTCCAGGCATGGCACTAGCAGCAGCTGACCCAGATTCACAGTATGGCTTTTCCTGGGAATCTCTAAGGCCAGCACAAGTAGTGGCCATCTAAGATTGCTTTATAACTCATAGAAGGTGGCCCCAGGCAAAACACAGGTGGGGGTTGACCTTGGCTTCTACCACCTGAAAAAATCTAGGGCCTGCTCACCCCATGGATAGTTGCAGACCATGTTGAAGCACCAACACCCTGCCTCTGCACAGTGGAACCTCCACAGGGGTGGAGGTTGGTGGTCAGTGGTCACAGACAATCCTTGCAGCTGACTGGCCTGGGTAAATCCCTCCCACTGACCTGATAAGAGCAACCAAGGCTCAACTAAAGAGGAAGGCATATGCAACCCAAACAAAGAGCACACCTCAAGTACCCAACTTGGGTGGTAGGGGATGCTGTGCCACTGGACCCTATGGGACACCTACTACATTAGGCCATGCTACCAAGACAGGGAGTTATAGCAGCTCTACTTAACACATAGAAACAAACACAGGAAGGCTGCCAAAGTGAGCAGACAAAAAATATCACCAAATGAAAGAACAGATCAAAACTCCAGAAAAAAAAAAAAAAACTAAACGAAATGGAGATAAGCAATCTACAAGATGCAGAGTTCAAAACACTGGTTATAAGGATGCTCAAGGCACTTATTGAGGACCTCAACAGCATAAAAAAAATCAAGTCATAAACAAAGGAAAAACTAATTGAAATAAAAAACAATTTATAGGGAAACAATGGTAGAATGGATGAAGCTGAGAATCAAATTAATGATTTGGAACATAAGGAAGCAAAAAACCAATCAGAACAAGAAGAGGAAAAAAGAATTAAAAAAATGAGGATAATGTAAGCAGCCTCCAGGACAACTTTAAGAGGTTCAATATTCACCTCACAGGTGAGCCAGAAGAAGAGAAAGAGCAAGAAATTGAAAACTTTTTGAAAAAATAATGAAAGAAAACTTTTCTAATGTGGTGAAGGAAATAGACATGGAAGTCCAGGCAGCATAGAGAGTCCTAAACAAGTTGGACCCAAAGAGGCCCACACCAAGACACGTCATAATTAAAATGCCAAAGTTTAAAGATAGAGAATCTTAAAAGCAGAAAGAGAAAAGTAGTTTGTTAATTACATGGAAGTTCCCATAAGACTGTCAGGTGATTTTTCAAAAGAAACTTTGCTGGCTAGAAAAGATTGGCAAGAAACATTCAAAGTCACAAAAAGCAGGGACCTACAGCCAAGTTGCTCTACCCGGCAAAGCTATCATTTAGAATTAAAGGACATATAAACAGCTTTCTAGACAAGAAAAAAACTAGAGTTCATCACCACCAAACTACTATTATATGAAATGTTAAAGAGACTTATTTAAGCAAAAATAGAAGATCAAAACTATGAACAATAAAATGGCATCAAATATATATCAACAATTGAATTAAACAAACAAACTAAGCAAACAAGAACAGAGACAGAATCATGGATACAGAGAGCCTTTGGAAGGTTGCTAGATGGGAGGGGAACACGGGTGAAGAGGTGAGGGGATTAAGAAATATAAATAGGTAGTTACAGAATAGCCATGGGTATATAAAGTACACTATAGGAAATGGAGTAGCCAAAGAACTTACACCCTTGACCCATGGACATGGGTATGGGGATTGCCTGAGGGAGTGGGGGCGCTTGGTGGAGGGGGGCAAAGGAGGACAAACTGGGACAACTGTAATAGCATAATCAATAAAATGTAATTAACAAATAAAGAACTAGCAATGTAAAAAATAAATAAATGGCAATGGGAGACTTAAATTCCTGGCCCTCAAAAAATAGGATCAAGTATGAGAATTTTAGACCTAGGAGGGATCTTAGCAAAAATATAGTAATCCTTGAATTTTGCAGATAAGGAAATTGAATCCTAGGGATTAGGATTAAAGGATTTGCCCAGGTTTTATGATTCTTTAGCAAACCAGAACCAAGCCTCCTGCCTAGGATGAAGACCAGGAATTCAGCACACCAGTCATGAAGTACTGGGAAGCTGAGAGAGAGGGAGTAAAACACTCAAGAGAGCTCTGCTGATATAGGTAGGACTGAGAGGAAAGAAAAGTAGAAGCAATATACATGTGGCCAGAAAACAGAGCCAGAATGTGAACCAAGACTAAAAGTACAGATCTAGGGTGGGCTAAAAAAACTCTGTAAGTGACTTCCCAGATTGTGTTTTGTTCCCATCGCACATACAGTTGGAAGCCAAATGCAAGCCACCAAGGTTGCAGTGCAACAGCGAATAATTAAAGCACAAATAGTTGTGGGCAGCTGTGGGAGTGCAAGCCACCTGCTCCAAGTTTACAGCTTTGTTAAACTTGGTAAACATTAAAAATGGAGTGGGAACACTCCCAGTCTGTACAATGTCCCATACCCTTCCTGGGAGGCCTCTCTTGGGGAACTGAGGTAGCTTTGCCCTTGACCAGGCCCTTGTCACCCCAGCCTAGAGCTGCTTTCTGTTGATAACAGTCAGTGTTGACAACAGTCTCTAGTAAAAACTGAGGGAGGTAGGGAGCATCACAAAATCACGTATTTATGAAGTTTGAAGGGGCCACAAAGCTCCCAGAATATAATTTCTTCCTGTTGTTCAGAGAAGAAAATTGAGATCCAGACAGGTGATGTGCTGAAAGTGACCAGGTTAAGGGCAGAACTGCCTCCGATGTCTAGACTTCTGATCCTTTGTTCTGTGCTCCTTCCTGAAAGCGCCACAAGGTTTGTAAATGGTGACAAACAGGCGTATAGCGTTACAGACTGTTATAGCTGGAAGGGACATGGTTCTCCACTATAAGTGTTTTAGGTTGTCACATGACTAATGGGTGCTATTGGCATTTGGTGGGCAGGGGCCAAGGATGCGAAACAGCTTGAAATGGGTTCATCCTGCATAATGAAGAATTGTCTTGCCCAGATGCCAAGAATAACCTTGTTGAGAAATATTTTGTCCAGTGTTTTATAATACAATTGAGGGATCCAAGCCTAGAGACAGGGAGATGACTGACCAGGGTCTCAGGGGGGGTCAGTGGTCTCCTGACTCCATCCCACTGAGCCCCTGGGTTAATCAGCTGCACCGTTGGTGACTTAGGCAAAAGGACAACTCTAGCTCCCTCCCCACCCAGCTTCTGCTGCCCTTGCACCTCAGCCATTTCCAGGTCAGCACTTACTTGGACTTCAGGCCCTCCTGTCCGTAGGGCTGCAGCAGGTACTGGTGCACAAGCTTGTCCCTGAGAGTCCCAGCCAATTTGATTTTCTTTCTTGATCTGTGCAGGTTGATGATGAAAAGTGTGATGGACCCCCGAACATAGTTGTGGCTGATTCAGAGAGAGAGAGAGAAGGAAAAGATGGAAACAAAGTGGTCAGTTAGATGCTTCTAAATAATTTACAGATGGTAGGAAGCGGGACTGCGCCAGGAAAGGGCACTTATTTTACAGCTCTTGGCTGCCTTCAAAGACAGGAAGGCCTTGTTTTTGTGGTTTCCTGCAGAGAAGATACTCACTTCTCGCGGCACTCCTTTTGTTCTCGTTTAAGTGTGTTGTGATGCTTTGAGAAAACAGAATATCTTTTTCTGAGTATGGGAGTAAAACATGCCGACTGCCAAATTAAATAAATAAATAATATAGAAAAACACAAAAAGAAAAAGAAAATTCCCATAACCCAAGTATGTTAAGATGTAATAACATGTTCATAAACATCCTTCCAGTTTTCTTAGTTTATTAATTTGACAAATAGTTACTATGTGACATATTTTGGTTTTTACATAATTGGGATTGCACTGTTCACACAGTTTTCCAGTTCATGAACATCTTAAAACATGTTCCCATGTTATTATATGATTATATTTTACTTATGAAAGAATGCTAAATTCTTCAACCATAGAAATGTAATGTAATTTATTTAACTAATACCTTACTTTTGGGGACTTAGGTTGTTTTCAATTGCATGCCATTATAAATTATGTGACGAAGCACTTCATTGTACATAAACTTTTTGCACGTCGTGATTATTTCTGATGGATGGAGCCTCTGTAGTTGAAACATCAGGTCAGGGAATGAACACTGTATGACTCCTCACCAAACCTGGTCTTCTCCCAGTGGTGCCCCTCCCTGTGGAACATTTTATGTCCCTGCTCTGTTGAAACCAGTGAAATGTGGGTGGGTATGTTAAGACCTCTGGCCAGGAGGTTTGAGAGGCAGCCCGTATATTGTCCCTTTACTCTCTGCTGGAAGACCAGCAACACTCTGGACCACGAGTGTGGGGCCTTGTTGACTGGTACCTGGGACGGAGACGAGGTAGAGCAGAGCTGTGGCTGAGCCACGACAGACAGGCAGTGTGAACGAGGAATCCATTTTCTTATTGAGAGCCACGGACGTGTGGAGGCCTTTGTTATCAGAGCATAATTTAACTGATCCTGGCTGATATACACATTTAGATAATATTGTGATTAACTACCTAGAAAATTTGTGCCAACTTGCCCTGATTAGCTATGTATAAGAATGCCCATTTCCTTATATTCTTAACAACACTGGATATTAACCTTTCTCAACCGAGAGGTGATAATAGGATTTCAATGCTGTATTAATTTGTATTTAAAAAAATTCATACTGAGGTGTAGCATTTTTTTCATTTGCCAGTTGGCCATTTCATTTCTTCTTTTCTAAACTGACCATGTCCTTTGCCCATTTTCTATTGGTTTATAAAAACTATCTATTTATTAGAGATAGTGATCCTTTGCCTGCGTGTATATTACAAAATTACCCCATTTTTCCTCGACCAATTCATTTGTTAATGGTGTATTTGATGTATAAAAGTTAAAAATTTTTTATTGTTGTTCAGGTATGGTTGCCTCCGTTTTCACCCCACCTTGGCCTCCCACCCCCAAATGTAAAACTTTTATGTAGTCAAATTTATTGATCTCTTTGATTTCTGCTTTGCTGTTTTACCTACCCCTAGATTATAAAACTGCTTACCACTTTGGGGTCCTTTTAAACCAGTACAGGATGTTCAGAAGCCTGGGAGAACTATATGCCTACACGACCTTTCTGCGTGTATCAACAAAACTATAATGATTTCCTTCTCTCTTGTAGGAAAAAAGATTTTGTTTCTAAGGGGTCCCTTAAGGCCCCATCTGGATGGGTTAATGAGAGGAAACAGAAAAAATGACCTGATCCAGCCTTCAAAGGAGGAGCTCAGAGAAACTCGACGTCAACCCTGCCCAGAGGAAAATATCATTCCTTGCAGAAACAGCCCCTCGGCCTCTGGGTCACTCATCTCTGTTTCTAAAGGTGATAATTAAGAGCTGAGTGACCAAAGGCAGGTCAATGTGATAACTTGGGTTATTTGTTTTTCATAATATAGTTTCCAGGACTAACCCCTGGATTTTTTGATTCAATCCATTTGTGACGGGGGCCTGGATATCTGTTATTTAAAAAAATATTCCTGGGATATTTGGCAGATGAGTTGGGTTTGGGAGCCATTGGCTACAGCAACCCACTAAGGTCATGAGAAGAATTACCACAGTATATCCCACCGGGCTGTGTCATGATTTTTCTTGCATGTGTAGGGGGCACAGTGCTGTGTTCCAAGCTTTCTGTATGCCTATATGATATTCTGATAAATTATTAAATGACTCTCCCATCTGGTCTCTCCTCCTCTGGTCCTTCTCAATCCCCTGAAACATGAGTTAGCTTTTGGAGCCAAATGAGTTAGATCAGAAGATAATGCCAACTTACTTGAGCAGGCTTGTGTCACTAGAGCTCTGAAGAGAGACACTGCTAGCCTGTGTCAGCATTTACCATCATTAAAGGACACCAACCATATTCCATTGGTGAGCTTTAAGCTTAACTTAGCTGTGTGCAGAACTGAGGAAGACACCACTAACTACCGCTCCTCTGGGCTCTGCAGTGTGAACGAAAGTAGGCGTGCATGGGTGCCGACTTTGCCGACTATGGTAATCCCTTCTGTTAACAATCATCAGACAACCTTCTCAAAGGCCAGCAGTGGAGAAGGAGAGCCTTGTGCATGCATTTATGAGTTTTTCTTCTGCAGAGTTGGGGCATAACGAGGCCTCAGAGACTGGAGAGCAGAGGGTGGGAAGTGGTAGGTGGGAGGGAGACCTGAAATCACAGCATGGCTCCAGGGAAAGCTGTCTTTTCAGGCTGCTTGGTAATGGCCTGATTTCCTTTTACATCGTTGCCCTGAGGGAGACAAACCAGTACTGAAAACTAGCCCACAGACCAAGGTGCAGAGGTTCTCACTGAACTCCTGGAGCCTCCTCAGGTAGGAACTGGCTTGACCAGGGCCTCTGCCAGACCTTCCCTGCTTGGCCGAGGGGAAGGGCATTAAGCAGAGGTCTTCTGGCTTTGAAGACACATTTTTGGCTGGAGAGTACAGCACCAACCTGAAAGTACTGTGTTGAAAATCCAGATTCCTGAAGAATGTGTATTCTCTGCCCACAGAAAACTAATCTTGGAACAGTATCTGTTCCCTAAGAAAATGGGGTCTGATTGAAGGCGTGGCCTGCAGGCAATTAGTCCAGGTGGTTTTGGGTTTTCTTAATGAATGTCCCTTTTTGTCTGGTAGAACATCTGTCTTACTCCATGTCTCACTCACGGTGACATTTTTACCACCAGCAGAGAATCCATGTATCTGGACTTCATCTTTCTGCTGCCTGACATCTTCTCAGTGTTGCCACGGGAGGAGGAGGAAGTGAGTCAGAGAAGGGAGGCTGGAATCGAAGCATCTTGGACGTAAGAGGTGGGGAATGTCATATGGGGAGGTGCATCTTGACTTCCAGATAAAAAACAGTCACTGTTCTAGAAATGTCTCTACTGAAGCTGGGAGACTAGGAAAGGGAAGGGAGGGAGGATGATGCTTTGGAAACACGGTCATTCTCAGGGAAAGTCAATATGCTTGAAAACTGGGTTGGTCCATTGTCTCCAAATCTAATTCAAAGTTTTTGGGTTCGGCAAAAGTCAGGCCATGTTTTGCCAAACATTTTTTCCCCCTAATTTCAAAGCCCCTGTGTATTTTAAGGGAAATTTAATCCACATGTTTCTGATTCATTTACACTTAACTCATCAAAATATTGTTTTGTAAGAGCCATTTGATGTCCAAGAAGCCTCAGGAACCTTTTTTATGAGTCTTAAAAAAAACTTCTTCTGAAAAACAGGAAGTCATGTTTTGCCAATAATAAATGAACTTGAACCCCAAAAGGCTCAGTTTTGCTTCAATATCCACCAGGTTCCAATTGGTTCTAAACTTGGCTAAGGACCTCAGCGCCTCCCCAGAAACATACATTGTCTCAGCAGAATGGTTTAGAAAATGGTTTTTCCCAGTCAAAATGTATTTGTTCTCTGAACAAGAAGACTGAGGTGAGAACTCCCATGCTGCCTGTGTCCTAATGTGTTAACTCCAGAACAGAAAGTGGAAGAGCACCTGCTGGTGTTGGTATGAGCATCTGACTTTTGTTCCTAAGTTTATCATAAAAGACAATGCTCTCCAAGGTCAGAAATGACCCACAATGCAAGAGACTGCCATAAGACACAGTGAGGTATTCAAGTAGAGGTTGCATAACTGTACAGGACACTGGGCCAAAGGATCTCTAAGGGTTCTTTCCAACTGTAAAATTGTTTGCATTATTAACACATTGTATATGCATTATTTGAATACAAGGGTGATGCCATGGAACTGTGGAGTTCAATATAATATTATAAATTACTGGCATTTGTAATATTACAATATTACAAATATAATACATAGAAATTACTGGCAAGATGGTTGGCACATAGCAAGTGTTCAATACACATTGGAGTACAGGAGTTATGTTAATAGACACTTTCTTTGGGTTGTTCTAAGGTAAGTTTATACTTTCTCACCCAGTCCTTGACCAAGGATATGTAAGATATTTTCAGAGTACTGGTCAAGAATGAATAGTGTGAAGCCGACATGCCAACTCTGGGACATTTCTGTGACCTGGGCCTCATTGGCAACAAATAAATTAAGTGGATTGATAGTGTTTTCTATGACTGTTGTGGAGGATGAGGGGGTACAGACAGGGCATGTGGCTTCCTAAAGAGATGGAGCACAGAGAAGAGCTCTTTCCTTGCACCTACCTATCTGGGGTGCCTGACACCCACTGACATGGAGGATACCTGTAACTGCAGCCCATGCAGTGCATCCATTGAGGGTTTTCTTTTCTACAAGAACAAGAAGATCTTCACTACCCCAATGATTATCATTAGGACTAGCAAAGCCCTTCCTTCCTTCCTTCCCTCCTTCCTTCCTTCCTTCCTTCCTTCCTTCCTTCCTTCCTTCCTTCCTTCCTTCCTTCCTTCCTTCCTTCCTTCCTTCCTTCCTTCCTTCCTTCCTTCCTCCCTCACTTCCTCCTTTCAATGGGGAGAAGGAGGAACATCCCTGACCAAAGCACAGTGGCACCATTTCCCCAGAGAAGTTCTGGAGTGACTGACTCCCCACAGAGAATAGAGGAGAGGTGGTGATGTGGAGAGAATGTTGACTCCAGATGATCTCGGTAACTTGTTGGAGGCCTCATGCTAGTGAATGTAGAATTCTTAGACACTCTACCACACCTTCTCCCTCTGGCTGATGTTGTGCTATCAAAGTGGAAGGGAGCTAGAACTCTTTGAGTCAGAAGTAATGTCTTAATGCCTTATTTCTTCATTCATTCATTTATTCATCAAATATTTACTAAGAACTTCTTTAGGCTGGCCACTATATTAGACAACAAGAATAAAAACAAATGGGACACTGGCCCTGAGTTCACGGTGCACCCAGGATATTAGTGACTACTCTGTGAGGACATAAAAGAATGTCAGGATGAATGCTGGGAAGAGGCTAGGTGAGGGGTCCACTGTGAAGACACTCAAGTCCTGCTAAGCCAAGCTATTGCCATTTCCCCTGGAGTCCTCAGACAGATAGTATAAAGGCCACAAACTGATGTGTTCCCAAAAGAGATAAGAGGTGCCAAGAATAATTTTTCCCTCTTGAAGCTGGGGGTCCACCTTTTGGGTGGTTACTTCAGGGTGGAGACAGGGAGTACAATGTTCCCTTGTGTGATGATCAGATAACTCCAGGCCAAGGCCGTAGAGCAGTCACTCTCTGTCAGGTATTGGACTGAGCTTCCTGTTGAGCAAATGGGATGTTGAAAACCCCTGGCCTCTGCCCAAACCAGCCTCCACTCATCCACAATAGGTACTTGTATCTAAAGACAAGACAACTGGCCCCTGGCCACCTATGTTCAGAGTGATTCTTTGAAAAATCTTATCATGAGAAATGAATTGGCGTGGCTCCTCTCTCATCAAGGAAGGGGAAGGAGTGTCTGCTGTAACCTGACCATGGGGGCCCTTTGTGCTGTCTGCTGCCCGTGATCAACCCTCAATGGGCCTGCTGGAATGAAGGCCTGGCTGGAGACACTGCCCCCCACCCCCACGCCCTTTTTTCTCCGAAATAAGAGAAAGCATTCTCTTTCCCAGTGCTGCCTACTCTTCTCCTTCAACAAGAAATGATGTAAGAAAGCCATTTATGGTATGGGAGGGTTTTGCTTTAGGATCAGTTTTAACTTTTTATCTTATGATCCTCATGCTTCAAAATATTTTCTCTGCCAAACTTTATTTACTGATAACTATTTTTCATGCTTATTTTAAAGACAACTCTAATGACAAGGAGTGCTTCCGATCACAAAGAAGAGAGAAGTGCACACTACCTGGCTGAGCTGTTGTAAGTCCAGCCCCGTAAAACGGATTTTGTTCAACTTCTTAACCCTGAAAGTAGCTGAAAAGACTTATGCAATACTGAAAATGGCTCCAGAGCTGACATGACTCCTTTGGGCACACCTTCCTCCACGCTGGGAGCCCCTGGTTTGGGACGCACTGGGCCAGGGCTGTTCTCAGCTCTAGCTCTCCAGCATGTGTCAGAAACGTCACCTGACTTCCTCAAGCTCTGCTGGTGGATCATGGGAACAGATTTTATAGCTTGCCCTGGTTTAGCCAGAGGCCTACAAAACTGCCTTGGGCATTATTACATCAACTGGCACAGAGAAAAAGCTCAATAAAAATTTTTTGGATGAAAAAGCAAATGAACAAATGGCATGTGTTTTTATGAACATTTTATGAATAAATCCCCTAAGTGTGAAAAGGGGGTTTACTTGGAGAAAAATTATTTTTCAGAGATAATTTGGAAAGAGCAAGGAGAATGAGTAATTCCAGAGGCAGTTTTCAGTTAGTCATCCTGAATGGCATGGGATTCCGAGAGGGGCCCAAAGCCTGAAGCCCCTCAGGTGGCTTTCTGTGACATCTTTCTGAAGACTTACTTGTGGTGGTTTGTGCAGTGAGCGTAAATCCTCAGTTTGTCCCGGATCACTCGGCCTGGTCTCGGCTTCCGCTGGAGCCCAGCCACGTGCACGGCCAAGACTTTGGGGCCAATCAAGCGCTTGTACAGGAGAGAGAGCCAGTAGTCCTGGGGAGAACAGAGATGGAGAGTCAGGGGCAGACATGTGTTCAGGGCTTCTGAGTACATGTGAGGAACACGCAGGCCGGAAAGTCCTTCTTAGCAGGAGTAAATCCTGACCAATGCAACCGACCCTGTGGGCATGGTCACCCCGAGGGAGCGCTCACCCCGGTTGGTGGTAAAGCCCGCACTACCTAAAGTGGCCTTTCAACTGGCCTAAATGGAGGAATGTAAAAGGAGGTGACTCAGAGCTGCGTACAGACAAATGAATCAAAGTTTCATTTGAAACAACAGTTTCACATGAAGTAGCAACTGGTTGGGGCCTTACATTTTCAATTTTATTTTCCTAGGACTATAGTTTTATATTGGTTTATGGCTCCTGTTTCATTGTAGAATAGAAGATTTCCAACTGTGGAGTTGCCACCAATATGAGGATCTAAAATGTCATTCTTCAAATATGGTCACTGAAGATGACTAGTGAGGTGTGAGAGATGAAGCTCCTCCAGGTAGGAGACCAGAGTCTTTGATTCCAGGGTCATAAACAAAAACGGAAGAATGTTTGCAAACCATGGTGCTAATTCTGGGTCATCTTTAAAAATTCCAAAATAAAAAGACTAATTGTAAACTAAAAAGAACATGATATGTTTAGCTATTCCAGGGTCCATCTGGAACTGATAGATAAATATTAAATTTGTAACCCACACATGTATTTGAACTTACAAAAGCCTATTCATCAACACCCTAATTTGTATGATATTTGCTGTTAACATATTTTGGTTTTGTATTTGATACAAACATAAACTTGCATTTGCATTGTGTAAGTGCTGTCGTCTGTCCTGGGGTAACGACTTCAGTGTCTGTGACACAGGGCTTCCCCCCACCACTTCCGTTCTGTCATTCAGGGAACCTGACACTCAAAGCCTTGCAGACATCAACCACATCTTCTTGCCACCACCTTTCCAGGCAGAAGCCTCCTAATGCTCTTTTTTATCTTTTCTTGTGTAGCCATGTATAAATGGCAGCAATCCGCTGCTAAAAATGGCTGCAAGTTTTCAAAGACATTCAGAACAAAGTCTCACAACCCCTTTGCCAGCAGAATAAATCCAAACTGGTCCTGAGTAGTGGGCTCTAAACCTTGACAGGCCATCTACCTGAATTAACTTTAAGTGGCCTTAGGATGACAATTATAGTTTCCTTTCATTGAAGATGGTAAATATTTCATCACTGTCAATTATACAGATACAAAACCTCATTGGTTCAATTTGCTCTCCTCTGATTACCGATTCTGTGTTGCTGATTATTACTATGTGGTGTGGTTTTCACAGTCACCCATGTTTCCAATGAGATCTCCACCTTTTACACACCGATTTGTAATAGACCTTTTAACGTTAGTAGTAAGAATCCTTTTGATTGTATGTGGGCAAGTGTTCTGTTCCAGTGTGTTGTTTGCCTTTTATTATTTTTATGCTTTTTTTTGATATGAAGAATTTTAAAAACTTTTACAGGAAAACAGGCCAATCTTTTTCTCTCAATTTCTTTATTAGAAAGTCCTTCCTCACACAAGGATCAGATAAATCTTCACTTATGTTTTTCTAGTTCTTATTATATTATCATTTTAAAATTTAACCTTTTAGATCATTGAAAAATATTTTGGTGTATGATAGTAGCCTTATTATTTTCTGAATAGTTTACTGGTTGTTGTACCATCATATAGTAAATAATCTATCCCTAAGTCCATCTTCATTACATATTAAGTTCTGCATACATGTAACTATATAGAAATATAAATAGTATTACATTATATAGAATTATGCTATACATTATTATATGAACTGTATCATACATGATATATTTAATGTATTAAATTTACACATATATTACAATACATATATAATATAAATTAAATATATATAAATGTAGGAATATGTCAAATATATGATATTTTATGAACTATATGTCATGACATACTGGTAAGAAATGTTATATATAATTCTGCATCTGGATTTCCTATTCTCTTCCACTGAACTCTCCATTTCACTATCAGCTTCACATCATTTTAATTATTAAAAATATTTACATGTTAATATCTACAGATTCAAATCCATTCATTATAATTTTTCTCACTACATTTGAACTTTCCTTAATTAGTCATATCCATTTACTTTCCCAAATAAGCCCCCAAATTACTTTTTATACTGTTTGTTGTTCCAGAGAAGTTTGAGGCTAGCATAGATTTTATTCTAGGTTTGGTTAGCCTGTTTATTTTCTGTCTTTGCGTTCTTCCACGATGCTTGTGGGAGTCATGTTTTATCCTCGTTATTTGGACTTCTACCAGGAATGTGTCAACCAGGGTTTCTGTGTTAATGTGCTGGTATTCGGGAATGCCTTTGAGCAGACAGACTGAGGCCGCGCTCCAACCTGTGAGAGTGCTCGAGACACAGCCTGGACCGCCTTTCCTTCTGTGAGCTCCAGTCCCTGTGCCAGGAGCCTGCCGCCTCCACCCTCGATTCTGCACCAGTGCCATCTCTGCCCATTTTAAAATCTTTCTGCTTTCTCTTTGCAAGAAGAGGTCTCAAGTTTGTCCTGCATATTGCATATCTATTTTCTCTAGGATCTTTTCTGTCATTTACTACAGTTTTAGTTTCTTTACAATCTCTTTGTTTAGCTTACCTGATTGGCATTCATTTCATGTTTTTTCCATTTTATGTGTACTGTGTGTATTTTCCATGTACAGAACATAGTTATCTTACTGGCAGTTCTGAAGCACAGGGAACCCATCGTCCACCTTGAAAGCTACAATAATACCCACACTGTTGCACCTAGTTATATGATTCCTCCTTTTCCCATTTTTGTGCTTTTCATTCCTGTTTCATATTTTAACTTTATTCTAAGCAATACATTATGCAATTTGTTAGCTTTTTAAGTGGTATCATGCTGTATGTAATTTTCTCTGACTTACTTTTTTTCACATTATGTTTCTAGGATCCATCCAGGTTGTTACTCCTACTTAAAGTTCATTCATTTTCAATGTTGTATACCCCACTGTGTGAACACACTACAGTTTGTTTATCCGTTCTTCTGCTGACGGATATTTGGGCTGCATCCAGATTTTTCCTATTATGAACAACGTGGTGTTCCTGTTTCCTAAGACGCAGATGAAGAAATCTGGACAAGTGTGACTGCAATTGTGACTGGAAACTAGCGGCAGCCTCCTCACGTGTGTGCTTTGTAGAAACACAGATTTGCAGGCTTTATCCCAGACCTACTGAGTCAGAATCTCCAGAGGTGAGGCCTTCAGATTGCATGGCTGACCAGGTAATTCTGCTGTTCATTAAAGTTAAAGAAGCATCATAGCAGCGTTCTAGAGTAATACCTAAGGCTGGAATTGCCGTGTCCTACACAGGTGTACAAATATTCAGCTTTATAAAATAATGCCAAATTGTTTTTCTAAAGTGATTTCCTTTATTCCAGTTTATACTTCCTTCAAGCAGTGTGTGTTTTTTAAAAAATATTTTTTATTTATTTTTAGAGAGAGGGGAAGAGAAGGAGAAAGAGTGGGAGAGAAACATCAATGTGTGGTTGCCTCTCATGTGTCCCCTACTGGGGACCTGGCTTGTAACCCAGGCATGTGCCCTGACTAGGAATCGAACCAGTGACCCTTTGCTTCACAGGCCCGTGCTCAATCCATTGAGCTATACCAGCCAGGGCCAAGCAGTGTCTGTTTGATTTCCTTTTGATTCATATCCTTGCCAACACTTGTGATTTTCAGGCTTTTTCATTTTTGCCAACCTAGTGGGCATATAATGTTTAGCTTTTTTGTATTTTAGTAAGTCCTTCCTCATGCCTAGTTCATAAAGATATTTTATTTTTTCTTTTAAAACTTTTAATGTTTTTCAGAGTTATGGCTTTACTAGATCTAGAATTGATCTGGGGTATGGTGTGAGGTAAGTATCTAGTTTCATATTTTTCCTTATGAATAGTCAATTATGCTGCATCATTTATTCAATGGTCCCTCCTTTCTTTAGTGATCTGCAATATCCTCTGTGTCATACCTCAAAGTTCCATATATTCATGGGCTTGTTTCTGGGATCTTTGTTCTGTTCCATTTTTCTGTTCTGCACCAATGCTGCACAGTTTTAATTACCATGGTTTTATATGTAACTTGAAATCTGGTGGAGCAAGTCCTCCTGCCTTGTTCTTCAATAATGGCTTTGCTAACCTTGGGCCTTTACTCAGTCATAGACATTTCAGAATCAGATTATTAAGTATCTACATAAAATTTCCTGTGACTTTGGAACCTCATTGAATTTACAGATTAAATGAAGATAATTTATATTTTTATGATATTGAGTCTTCTTATCAATAAATATGAAAAGAACAGAGAAAAACCTCTTTCTACTCAGGGATCTTTCTTCTCTCCCTCCTTCCTTCCCTTTCTCCCTCCTTTCTTTCTTTTGAAAGTGGAAGTTCAATATCATCTATATTTTTCTATTAAGAAAGTATCCTAGACCTTTTATAATAAAAGCAAATCTGGAGAGAAGAAGAAAATATAGAAAACTTTTCAATTCAGAGACTGAAATCAGAACACATTTTATTTTTAGAAGTTTTCTATTCACCACTGAGCAGTAAGCAAAGCAGTACAAAGAATCCAGTGTTAAACCCCAAATTTGCTCTACTGGCAGATTCGCTGATTTTCCATTTCTAGATAAAGCACTTTCAAAGTGCCTCTACATTCATTTTCTCCCTACTTATATCCTTTTGGTATTGTATGAAAACTATTTGCGATGGATGTCTTTGCTTTCACTTCCAAAAGTGTATATCAGTGGACAAAAGCCTTCATTTTCCTGCTTCCAGCCCACTTCACCTCCCAAAATTCAAGGATAGTACGCCCAGGTAAAGTGTGTTCTAGGCAATAGCTGTGTGTTGCTTGTATGGTGTGACTTTGGAATTTTTTTTTGCTTTTTGTTTTTTAAAAAATAGCTGTTCACATTTAGGTCATATATGTTGTT